GAGCAATAATTTTTGAAATAGATGTGCATTTTTAGAGACTATCAACTGACGTTTTTCAATATTGAATTTCAACTGAGGACTATTGTACCTTTCCCATTGAGTTCAAAACCATCCCCATAATTTAGACTTTCACGGAATGTCATTGGATAGTGCCCCTTGCTTGCATAACTAGTCGAATAACTAGACATGGGCCTGCATGAAGATCATACCAAATAAGGCAAAATGTACAGGGATCTAACCCCAGTCATTTTGACAATTTTACCTTTGTCACCCGCAAGAGACTGTAACTAAGGGGGTTTCTGTACACTAGTGGATGTTCCAACATATATCCTTGTCTAACCGAGAAAGGAAAGATGTGAGAGATCCTAGCGCCAAAAGATACCATTAGAAATCTATTGGGAAATACTATGTCATGCCAATGAGTGATGATCTAGGTCAATCATATCTCATGGCCCATGTCCACATTATTCTTGTGTGAACAGTTTATTGTAATGCAGTCATGTTACCCCCCTAATTACAACAGTGAATCCTTCCATCTAACGATAGTTCATCACAACATATCTTATTTCCTATGGGCGTCTAGTGGGCTCGTTGAACTTCGTAAGCTCGACCCATTTTACGAAGGCAAGGGGGCCCTCGGGCGTGCCGAGTATCCATCTGATGCTAGGGTGGGGATGTCGAGGTCCACCGCGAATACGGACACGGTTTCTTCCTATACTGCAGTAGAAGTGATCTGGGCTTTTTTCTTCGCCACAAGAGCAAGTCGTCAGGGCATCTTCGTGTGCGAAACATCGATAATACAGGGCGAAAATTTCGTGTCCGGAACGAGCTGTAATCAATACCCCAAGTGCACGTCGACTTAGACCACATAGCTGAGGTGTTATTCCTATACTAAGACCAATTGCGAGATCCTTGTATCTAGAGGATCTTTTTTAAACCTAGAACTTTTTTTTTTTTTGCATCAGATTTTAATTGCGTATGCAGCTATCTAGCTATGACACAATATCAGAGAAAAGTACAGAAAAGATGACTCAGTTTATAATAGGAGCACTCATGCCTCGGATTTCATTTGCAAGTACCACTGCGAAGTTATGGTGGCTTTTTCTTCACCCCAGGTCAACCCTCATCCGTGAATACCCACCCAGGGGAACGTCTCAAAACCCTGAGTTATCCAGACATGCCTCTGTCATCCATCAACTTTTCTCCGCGCGAAATGTAATCTGAGATGTCTCCTTCCCAAGTGGAGTAGGTGCCCAGGCTACTCAAACTATACCAGAGAACACTGCCAGGAGGCGGATCACAACACCTTCCATCGTTGGCTTGTGTTTATAGTGTCAGCTGCACTCTCGCAAGCGAAGTCTTGGCGCGCACAAAGCTCAATTCGTAAAACTCTTGCCAAAATTCGAAATTTCACGCCCGTCGAGAACGTATCCCTCTTCTGCATCATCTTGTAAACTTGTCCTGAATTCCTCTCACGTCCATCCCAAAGAACTATCTCCCAGATTTGTGCGCCACACTTTACTTCCTCCGCCGGGTATAAATATCGGCGTGGGCGTGTATTTGGCGGTCAACTAAGGCCAGAGAAAGTCGACGAGAGGTGTGGTCATTGGGGTGAGGATGTACTATGTTGTACTTGTAGACTTGATGAAGCTTAGTTGAGAATCGGACTCTTTGGGAGTGAAAGATTGACATGGTGGAGTAATTTGAATTTTTGCCTTGTGGGCCAACTTCTTTGATATTGCGAAATTTGACTAAACTTGGCTCTGGGAGAATATTTTACTCCCAGGTTCGTAGAGGACACCGCGTACAGGTGTTCAGTCTTGCCCTCCTTGAACCTAGAACGCGGTGGAGGAAGCGTTGTACAACCGATAAATTTCTCTTTTTGCTCGTGCTGTAGATAGGTAGGAGTGGCGTAGTCACTAGACAAGTCGACTTCGCTAGAGCATCTGTTGCTTCATTTCCAGGGATTCCAGAAGGTCCGGGGCACCATTTAACACTGACTGCTCCTGCCCTATTACAGGACGCCCGTGTCCTATTCGACCAGCTAGCTGCTAGCTGCCGAAATTTTGCAATGTGGCAAGAGCTTATTGCAGTAGGATTTAACGAGAGGAGTCGAAGAGTCGCTTCTTGATTATCTAGGCAGATAGTTACGTTGGTTGTGTAAAAGGCCATGGGATTTTGGAGAGCAGCTGCTGCTTGACCCTTTGTTGCTCCGGATATTTCTGCGTCGTATACTTCTGCTGAAGCACCTAGAGGAATGGTTCCGCAGGCAATCTCATGAGTCGCGCCGCGTCGAATTGAGTATCCGGCTCCTGCTTGATTCTCGATCAGAGCGCCGTCGCAGAAAACAAAGAGGTCCATCATGGATTGTTGGGCGTACCATTGAGTGAATGAATTGACTCACGCTGTTCGGCCAACAGCTTCAATCTTTTCAAAAGATTCATCACGTCCAACTTCCCAAGGGGTAGAAATGTTATCTTTTGAGAGCTCCGGGGAACTCCTTTTTCGGGCGCCTCTTCCCTTTGACAGTTGTAAATTCGCGAGAGACGGAAATAGTCCCGACCTGACACGAAGTAACCCTGTAATGATTATTGACATGGAACCTCTTCGGTTGTCTCAGCGCAAGCATCAGATATTGCTTAGAACCGAAACAGTTGCCTAGAATATACTGGTACCACCTTACACTTGACTAGTCGTAGTGTAACCGAAACACTGAGACTACTTTTTTTTTAAATCATTTAATGTGTATACAGCTATAGAGCTAAGACACATGACCGGCGCTATGTATACATGTAAGATGACTCTTTTGGACGTTAGAGACACTCATACTCTGGATTTCATTCGCAAATACCACTATAAGGTATGCTTGTTTTCAAAAACAGCCGACCCTCCTCCGTAAGTACCCACCAAAGGGACGTTTAAAACCTTTGATTATCCAAGCATGCCTTCGTCATCCATGCATACCAGCGACGCGAGAAATGTGGTTTTGTTTTGCTAGATTTGAACCAGCGATCTACTATCTCGAGTGGAACATGTGTCCAAGCTATCCAGACTCTACTTGGCAGACCGGCCAAGATGATGTAGCACTGCACAATCCAACCATGGCGGTGTTTATAGTGTCGCTTGCACTCTTATGCTCTACCTCGCTTAGGTGGAAACGTTGTGTTCTAATTACGTGATGGAACAATATTCCCACCGACGAGATCATTACCAACCAAGACCTCACCAAAGCTGGTACCGATCGAAGATAAGTAGTCTTCGTCTACTCCGAACTACGTGCACTTTAGTCTGGTATGTCTAGATTTCAGCAGATATGAGATACTATTTCCCATTCTTGAAGTTCGAATCGACGTAGGTCAATTGACCGGGAAGAAAAGGTAGAATGAATCTAGAATAGATCGAATATATGTGAGCCAGGGATGGAGCGTCTTAGCAAGATTATCATTTAGATTTAATTCAAACATCACTTGGTATTCCGGTGCCGTTTAACGATAGCGCTCGGAGCAGCACATCAAAAGCGGCGTCTAAATCTGGATGTTGGAATACCTGGATGTTGGAATACCTGGATGTTGGAATACCTGGATGGGCATTGATATCACAAGTTTGTTATAGCAGGAATAACGATTGTAAAATATCTAGCATAGAAAAATTATTTACCTCCTAGAATTGCTGGAGCTAACGCAACGTTTGCCCTATATATATATGGGATGGCCAAAAAGAATCGCATCCGAGGTCCTCAGTTTGATAAAGACCCTCAACTAGGCTCGCCGTCTGTATTGTCTTGATCTCCCAGCATAACTCACACTATCATAAATTCGAACACCATCGGATCAATTGTCATGATACAAGCACTTCTCATAATTAACTCACCTTTTCCTTACTCTTCCATGGAGGAGAAGCTACCCGATGAGTTTTCAGAGCGTAACCAGCAACCGATACCGAGATGGTGGATAGGATCAAGTCGGCCTTGAATGTTACAAAGATGAGAGATATAGATGGATAAGCGCACTTCGTGTGACACCGGTGTCTAGACCGTGCTTAGCTGAGGCTGCAGGATTTACAAGAATTTTCCTTGGTCACGGAGTTTCCATCCCTGCCGCCTCTTTGAGAAAAGATTTCGTGGAAATAAAACCTGAGTACTGATTTTAATCACTGAACTAGAATTTTATCCGTCTTGGGCACTACATCAGAGAGCTTCCTTAAGAAAAGAGGATAGGAGCACTGTACAGGATGTGGCTTGCGTTTCAGAGCCCAATGTGCTAAATCTTCTTTGACATAAGTAGCAAAATAAAACCAAACTAAAAACTGGTACTCTGTACTAGAATACAGAAAGAATATATATCGTTGAAATCTGATTCCCTTCAATTTACGCCATTACCAAAATTCATGAATTGTTGAATTGTAGATGAAACTGTTACAATTGATTAGAATAACAGAGAGCAGATTTATTTTCTAAGATAAAGGAACCTCAAATCTAGAGCCAAGAATTGTGAAGCATAAATCTACCTAGTTATTTCAGACTAGAGACCACATTTTAAATCACTATTTGCGATTCAGAAGCACGCATTTCTCTTTTTTTCGAAATAATTGATGAGAAGTTTAAGTATGTCGAGTGTAAAGGTGGCACTAAGAATCTCTTCAAGCAGGTTGAGGTGATGGAACACATCTAATTAGGGCTTATCTAGACAGCAATTTGTCGACTTATTCTCATCAAATTGGCGATCGAGGAATTGGTCACAGTGCCTCCTATCTCGGATTCATGTATAATTTTCATTAAATTTAATGCCGCGATGAGTTTTTGGCGTTCAGTGAGGTTATGGTTTTGTTGGAATTACGTTGATATGTAGTCATCCTAGATTCGCTCAAATAAAGTATATAGGTTCCAGTTGGTGAGGACAAAAATGGTTCATAATAAAAGTGTAGATCGTACCTTTGCCCTGATAGTCTTGGCTCCGTGTGACACTTTTCACGTACTACTTTTAGGTTGTGAATACTGAAACTCACCAAACTTCTTCTGGAGATACGACATATGCTTCGCCGCCCGCTCGAATGTGTGCTCGTTTCACATCTCTCTTCAGTGGCTTGCGCATGTCATAGGCATCTTCGCCTTCTCCTCCCGTGCCCATCACATCATCACTGTAATAGTCTTTTACTGTACGGAATACGCTGTATCCAAGGCCACGATATAGGGCCTGCGCGACGACATTGCCCTTTCGTACGAAGAGATCGACGAACCAGGCGTCATAGCTATCTCCGGCCGCTTCTAGAGATGATGAGAGCGTTCGTGCGAGTCCTAGACGACGTGCGTGTGGCGCTACCGTCAAGGCCGTGATGTGGGCATGGAATGGAAGATAGTGCGGAGAATGAATGACAAAAGCTGGGGATGACTCTAGCTTGCCCATAACTACAATGATAAGTAAATAGATAGGCCCGGGGGAAGATAGGGAATTTACTGTAAGCATTAATCTTTTCATCCGGCCCAGAAGCGACGGTAAAGAGATGCGGCCATCGAGCGAGATAAGAGAAGTAAAAGTTCAGGTCATAAGTCTCTGTAAGCGGGTCAAGATTAGTAGGATTGAAATTAAAGACGTCTGACGCATGAAAGGCCCGGATTGAGGTCATCTTGCTGATGGATAATATGTAACTCTTTAGAGCTCAGCGCATTCGCAGAGGCAGCCCTAGAGTCGCTTGTGGTTGAGGGCACTTCGCACGTCTTACTCCGTACAAATTCAACCACTAGTTAGCCGGACAAATCGCCTCATGCACTCAATACGGAATCGTGTAAGGGTCAGGACGCATTTGCTAGTCTAGCTGATCTTCAACTGGTGGCTGAAATTGTCGGGATATCGGGAAAGGAAGATTACCGCGCGCTGCATGGGCAAGTGAAACTTGGCTACATATCCTCGACGTTGGCCCCAGAACGCTTCCTTCCGGAAGTATCATCAGTGAGTGTCTTATCGACTAGAATGTTCCTTGCTACATCACACAGGCCAGTTGACTAAATCTAGATAGCTGCATTGTAGAATATTTCCATGTCGTCTCCTACGCCAAAACATAGTCGACAGTCGTCGAATATCGACTCACTTGCTTTCTCACCTGCCCGTACACACTCTCGAACCTCAAATTACAGTCCTATCACGCCCTCTCGACCAAGCGTCCATGGTGTTGACGCTTTCGGCCTCGAGATTTTTGGCAGTGGTGGATTACATTCATCATCGACTGGATTGGGTAACCTCGCTGATGAACTAGCCGACGCATGGGATGAGGAAGAATGCGAAGATGATTCGAGTACGATTTTCCCAGAAGAAACTAATGTTAACCCATCCAAGGACAATGAAGTAGAAGTGTCTCCTCCCATTTTCAATCCTACCAGTGTAACGCATGTCACGAATATTATACCACTTTTGGAAAAAAGACCAAATAAACTAGCTCCCAATGAAAATGGTAACGGCAAAAATGAGAATCAACTACCTTTTGAGCTCGATGGTCTCCCGCCTGGTCTAATAGCCAAAATAGATTTGCTAGAGACTTTAGCACAGACCAGATCAGAGGAAAACGAACCAGAAGGAGGAGTTATTCGAAGATTGACGGAGCTACTTAAAGAATTGGGCGGCCAATCGAGGGTCGAGAGTAGTGCTACCAGGTGTGCATAGGATCTATTCATCTGCCTACGCTAGAAGGGCACACTAATCCCTATCAGGCTTGCTACTACGCATTCCGCATTATCAACACAATTAGTATTTCAAACTCGCCTTTTACAATCGCTCGTCTTCCAACTTTTTTCTCCCTCTAGTCTTTCCTTAAGCGAGACCGATATCGATGACCTCATCCCGATTCTAATTCAAACAGGCGATTCTATGCCGCGACCTTGTGCCGAAGCCTTCCATTCTCTCACCCAGCTTCATAGCCTTACGGCTGACCTTATTCAGACACTAAATTATCTTTCGGACACACTTCATATGTCTCGCCAAACTATAGCTACGGCGTCACGAAGGTTGCGAAGTGTTCGCGACTTGGTTATCGAAATTCAAAAAGAGGATGAGGCGCGCGAGGAAGGCGAACACTGGTTACAGTTACACAACTGGCCACGACGGCTACATAATCGTGAATGTGCCAAGGAGTGCGATGAAGTTATGGTGGGGTTTAATGAAGTGTGTGACAAATGGCGAGCGAGGCTAGTCGCTCAAGCTGAGGTTATGGGTGTATGAGATCTAACCCACTACGAGATTGAATTGAGTTACTCTCGACATAGAAGACAACGCAGAAATATAACACTAAATGAGCTTATGGAGCTACTTATCTTCAACACACGAGGCATAAGGTCTTCGAAGAGTTGGAGGACACGGCTATCTGGAAGATATCGACGATGAATAAATATAAGAATTTAGGGAGTGGAGAAATGAAGCCTTAGGTCGCTCATGTAAGCCGATTGACGGCTATTGGATAGACGTGAGCCAATAAACTACGCTACGGATGGAATTGAACAAGCTTTGAGAATGCGTGACATGTGCACTTCATGACACCTGTTGATCGGTCGAATGATGAAGTATTGCACTATTTTGGAAAGTCTTTTAGGTAGATGCTGGATAGCCTAGAATCCTATTCTACTCGAGACAGGAATCTTCGGTTCGAGACCGGCAAGACTATACCAAATTTGATGAGGTGCTTGATAATATTACCATAAAGTTTAACATGGACAACCAAATTTATTGAAATTTACTTCTGATGAAAGCTCATGAATAGTTGTAGATTGTGGTGTAAACTGAAAAAACTTCGTGCAGGTGTATTCAAATAAAATCTAGAGTACTGGTCTTACTCAATCTAAAAAGCCATTCTACCAACACCCCAAGAACTGATTACGTACTAAAGCGACACAGCTGCACACAAATTACATAATTTTTGAAAAAAAATCCGCCCGCCGTAAGTATACGAAAGAAATGTTAGAGATGAGCCTACTGCCATACTCTAAAATATAGTTTATCTTTGATTGGTTCTCTGTAATGGACCAATTTACAGGAGTACTATGGATAGATTCGATATCTTGCGAGTGAGGAGTCGTTGCTCCGAATAGTAACCACTCTGAAGCCAATGAATTATTTCCCTTGAACTCCTGCCCCGAAGCTAGACGTCAAGTCGTGTTATAGGGCCGACGGTGCCAGATTCGATCACGACTATGACCATGCTCAACTCATTTTTAACATTCCCAACTGTAAAGCCCCTCTTCTCAATCATTTGATAAATATTCGAAATCATGCTTATATTTATGACACATGATCAGTGGTTTGTGTATATGTTTGATGTCCCACATGTCTTGGGTGACAGTCGAACCTCCTCCATGAGTACCCACCAAATAGTACTTCATAGCCTTTGATTATCTAGCATGTATTCGTCATCAATGTACACCAGCACCATTAGAAATGTGGATGAGTCTTACAAGATTCTAACAAGCCATCTCATATGCCAAGTGAGATAGGTTTCAAAGCTATCCAGACTCTACTTTGGAGGCCGACCCGGATAATGTATCAGCGCAACATCTGATCTTTTTTTTATCATTTAATGTGTATTCAGCTATCTAGCTATGACACATGACCGGCCCTATGTATACATGTAGGATGACTCTTTTGATGTTAAAGACACTCACACTCTGGATTTCATTTGCAAATACCACTATGACGTATGTTCGCTTACACAAACAGTCGACCTTCCTCCGTAAGTACCCACCAAAGGGACGTTTCAAAACATTTGGTTATCCAAGCATACCTTCATCATCCATGCATACAAGCGCCGCAAGAAAAGTGGTTGTGTTTTGCCGGATTCGAACCAGCGATCTACTGTCTCGAGTGGGATATGTGTCCAAGCTATCCAGACTCTACTTGGCAGACCGGCCAAGATGATGTAGCACTGCACCATCCAACCATGGCAGTTTTTATAGTGTCACCTGCACTCTCGCAGCCGAAGACTTGGCACGCACAAAGCTCAATTTGTAAAAACTCCTTTCCAAATCTCAAAATTCCACGCCCGTCGAGACTGTATCCAATCCTCTGCATCATCTTATTAACTTGTCCTGATCCCTCTCACATCCATCCCAAGGAATTGTCTTCCAGATTTGTGCGTCACGCTTTGCTTCCTCCGTCGGGTGTAAATATCGGCGTGGGCGTGTATTTGGTGGTCAACTGAGGCCAGAGAAGGTCGCAGAGAGGTGTGGTCATAGGCATGAAGATTTACTAGGTCGTACTTGTAGACTTGATGAGACTTTGGTAGGAGTCAAACTTGTTGGGAGCGAAAAAAACGACGTCGCGGAGTAATTTGAATCATTGCCTCGTGGGCCAACTTCTTTGATATTGCGAAATTTGGCTGAACTTGGCTCTGGGAGAACATTTCACTCCCAGGTTCGTAGAGGACACTGCGTACAGGTGTTCAGTCTTGCCCTCCTCCACTTATTATTATTACTATTATTAGGGGGACTATTCTCAACACCTGTCAGTGGTGTCCCCTACGAACCTCCAGCTCTCACTGTAGAGTCTGCAGAGCCGAGATTGAGTAACAAAGTCCTCACTTCGAAGAGGATTCCCAATCGCTTTCGCGGTCTGTATCGTCTTCATCTCTCAACACATTCCCCTATCACCACTATCATGAAGCTAACCACGATCAGATCAGATGGTAGGGTCGGAGCCCTACTCGTCACCCACCCTTGATCATGGAGGAAAAGCCATCCGATGAGTTTCCGGAGCGTACCCAGCACCCGATACGGAGATGGTGGATTGGATCAAGTCGACCTCGACTGTTACAAAGAAGGGAGATATAGATGAATATGCGCACCTCATGTGGTCCCGGTGTCTAGGCCTCGCCTGGCTGGGGCTGCAGGTTTTTTGAGACTTTTTCCCGCGCACGCAGTTTCCATTGCTACCATTTTTATTTTTTTTGGGTAGAAGGTTCCGTGGAAAAGGGGGCCGAATTCCACGGGTAAATACTGAGCTGATTGGCTATTCATCAAGGGGAATATATCAATAATCTTTCAAGTAACAAAAGAGGCAAGGAGCGGAGGGCAAGACTGAACACCTGTACGCGGTGTCCTCTACGAACTTGGGAGTGAAATATTCTCCCAGAGCCAAGTTCAGTCAAACTTCGCAATACCGAACAAGTTGGCCCACGAGGCAATGATTCAAATTACTCCACCATATCAATCTTTCACTCCCAACGAAATCGATTCCTACCTAAGCCTCATCAAGTTTACAAGTACGACCTAGTACATCCTCATCCCAATGACCACACCTCTTTTCGACTTTCTCTGGCCTTAGCTGGTCGCCAGATACACGCCCACGCCGATATTTACACCCGACGGAGGAAGCAAAGCGTGGCGCACAAATCTGGAAGACAATTCCTTGGGGTGGATATGAGAGGGATCAGGACAAGTTAATAAGATGATGCAGAGGATTGGATACAGTCTCGACGGGCGTGGAATTTTGAGATTTGGAAAGGAGTTTTTACAAATTGAGCTTTGTGCGTGCCAAGTCTTCGGCTGCGAGAGTGCAGGCGACACTATAAAAACTGCCATGGTTGGATGGTGCAGTGCTACATCATCTTGGCCGGTCTGCCAAGTAGAGTCTGGATAGCTTGGACACATATCCCACTCGAGACAGTAGATTGCTGGTTCAAATCCGGCAAAACACAACCACATTTCTCGCGGCGCTGGTATGCATGGATGACGAAGGCATGCTTGGATAACCAATGGTTTCGAAATTCCCTTTGGTGGGTACTAACGGAGGAGGGTCGACTGTTTGTGTAAGCGAACATACCTCATAGTGGTATTTGCAAATGAAATCCAGAGTATGAGTGTCTCTAACGTCAAAAGAGTCATCCCACATGTATACATAGCGCCGGTCATGTGTCATAGCTAGATAGCTGAATACACATTAAATGATTTAAAAAAAAAAAAAAAAAAAAAGAGGCAAGGAGCACTGTACAAGGTGTGGCCTGGGTCAGAGAGGAGCCCAATGTGCTAGATAGTCATAGACTCAAGTAGTACAATAAAACACACACGCATTACTATTATTAGAGTGCATGACTACAGTTCAAGTACCTATTCTCTTTTGCTACGAAAGTCATCTAATGTGATGTCCATGACGATAAGCCATTAAGCTCACTGGTTACTCGTAGGATTGACGACTTTTTATTACTGAACCTTCTATCCAAAGAAAAGTAGTAATGAGAGTTGCGTGCGCGGGAAAAAGTCTCAACCCCCCTGCAGCCCCAGCTAGGGGAGGCCTAGACACTGAGACCACATTAGGTACGCATATTCATCTACATCTTCCCTCTTTGTAACATTAGAGGCCAATTTGATCCAATCCACTATCGTCGTATCGGGTGCTGGGTACACCCCGGAGACTCATCGGATAGCTTCTCCTCCATGATCAAGGGTGGGCGGTTAGAAAGGCTTCGACCTTACTATCTGATCTGATCGTGGTTAGCTTCATGATGATGGTGATAGGGGAATGTGTTGAGAGATGAAGACGATGAAGTGAGTGCTGAAGATTTGTTGGAGACACGGCTGATAGGTGTTGAGTTTTGACGCCTTAATGTAGGAGTTCGAGCGCAAGATAAATATTGGATCTCATCGCACAGAAGAGTGGGTTGCGCGGGATACGGTATTACGGTGAAAATATTACCTGGAGAGCTCAACTGCTACGGATGATATCTGTGTGCTGAGAAAATTCATGTGATAAAACTTACTGAGCTAGAATGAGTAGACGGAATTGCAAACCCCAGACACCTATGATGCACTGTTTCTTCGGACAATCAAGTTACATATAGTAGTAAGCTCTAACAACCTTATTAGTAGACTGCAGCTTCGAGATACCCACACCTTTTCGAGGTTAAGATTCTCTCACATTTCACGTATACTTATCTACTTGGAGCTTCACCCCCATGAAGGTAGCTACTTTGCCCTGGGCCATCTACCTGCTCCCGAGTTGTCAAATAGTGACTATGTTGATATGCCACTGGTGGATTTATAGCTGTTAAGAGCACGCTCGCACTCCAGGCCATTAAAGTGACGCTGGTGAAACGATGTCGGGCATCGCTCTTCTCTCAACTACGCAGGAAGTGTCTTTCTTAAAGCGGCGTCGAGAGTTCAAGGGATCGACGACATGAATCTGAGCTCTCATGAAGATACGAGTTAGCCCTTTGCGACTTCTCAGGGTTGTGAATGTAGAGAAACTTTGATGCAAGGCTGCACAGCATTAATAAGTTATAGCAGAGGACCTTTGCCGGAAAAAAACTTTTGTATTACCTATCATGATGAGTCGTGCTGCTGCTCGCAACATTCCTCTGAGATGACATCCTAATACCATGGTAGAAGTCGGACTGACTATATAGCGTAAAATACATAGGCCATTCCATATGATCATGGGCAAAGGGGGTGAAAAACTGGGATATTAGCCGTGTCCCTGCCGCCTATTCGCCGTCTGTGATGCATCCATTACTAGCATTGCTTACGAGTTTAGCGTACTTTGCCAATGTACCTTTGGTATACTTGCGCGGCTTCGGGACAAACTCTCTCTGCCGCTTCTCAAGCTCCGCTACTCCACCTTTCACCTCGAGATCCAACTTTCGCGTCTCTGCATCAATTATAATGGTATCACCATCACGGACGAGACCGATTGGTCCACCTTCTTGAGCTTCGGGAACAATATGTCCGATTAGAAATCCATGAGAGCCACCGGAGAATCGACCGTCAGTGATAAGGGCCACATCTTGACCCAGGCCTGCACCCATGATGGCCGAAGAAGGCTTCAACATTTCTGGCATTCCAGGTCCACCCTTGGGGCCCTCGTAGCGAATTACAACGACAGTCTTCTCGCCCTTCTTAAGCTCGCCCCTCTCGAGAGCAACGATAAAATCATCTTCGGCATCGTAGCACTTGGCCTTGCCTACAAATCGTAAGCCCTCCTTACCCGTAATCTTTCCCACAGATCCACCAGGGGCTAAGGAGCCCCGTAATATCTGAATGTGGCCGGTTTCTTTCATTGGATTTGACAATGGACGGATAATGACTTGGTCTAGAGGGAATTTGGGCCATTCTTCGAGATTTTGTGCGAGGCTCTTCCCAGTCACTGTCATTCCCGATCCTTCTATAAGACCTTCCTTTAGGAGAAATTTCAGGAGTGATGGTGTACCGCCAATTTTGGAGAGATCGTTCATTACATATTTTCCAGAAGGTTTTAAATCAGCAAGGAAGGGAGTACGATTGGATACCGCTTGAAAATCATCAATCGTCAGCTTTATACCGACTGAGTCAGCAATAGCTATGAGATGTAAGACTGCGTTAGTAGAGCCACCCGTGATATTTACCAAGATCATAGCATTTTCAAAGGCTTTTCGAGTCATTATATCACTTGGTCTTATATCTTCCTTAAGAAGGTGCTTTATAGCACCACCAGCGGCGAGACACTCGAGATATTTGGCCTTAGATGCTGCTGGGTGAGAAGATGAGCCTGGGAGTGTCATTCCCATTACCTCTAGGGCTGTTGCCATCGTATTCGCCGTGTACATTCCACCACATGCACCTTCTCCCGGACAGGCGTGATCAATGATATCTGAACGTATTTCCTCTGTAATCTCGCCGGTGATGTATTGACCATAAGCCTGAAAGGCAGATACGATATCAATGTCAAGATTGCCTTGCGTCACAGAACATCCCGGCTTAATTGAGCCTCCATAAATCATTAATGAAGGGCGATTGACACGACCCATAGCCATAATAACTCCAGGCATATTCTTATCACATCCAGGAATAGAGATGTTCGCATCATACCATTGACCACCCATAACTGTCTCGATACTGTCGGCAATTAAATCGCGTGACTGAAGACTATACCGCATGCCTTTCGTACCCATGGATATTCCGTCCGAGACACCGATAGTATTAAATTGGAAACCTGCCAGTCCAACCGCTTGAACCCCCATCTTTACCCGGTCATTGAGTTTAAGAAGATGCATGTTACATGGATTTCCAGAGTACCACACAGAGGCTATTCCCACCTGAGCCTTACTAAGACAGGTTTTTGTCAAGCCAGTTGCAAGAAGCATAGCCTGAGAAGCCCCTTGGGATTTTGGCTGAGTAATTGTTGCCGAGACTTTGTTGAGTGTTCCTTTATCATTGTGAAGTGGGGTGAATATTGTGAAATTTCGACTAAATTAATCAGTAGTGCTCATATAACAACATCGAATTGTTGCTTTACATATTTCTCAACCCTATTTTCCATGGCAAAAAGGTAGTCGTCTGCGATCTTAATAGTGGTGACAACATCCCAAAGATTGGTACAGCTCAGGCTATTTTTGGTAGAGTTCGGGCCTCTTAATCGGCGAAGAGGATAGTTCCCGACCAACCTTCGCAACGCACTGTAGACGTAGCTGTGCGGTGATGATAGTGTCGCGCTATCAGCGGCAAACTTCTCTGGCGCTTATTTTTTTCGTGCGTAACCTGATCAACGGAGATGCCTTCCCAATTAACGCCTCTAGTGTTATTCTTGTTCAAGGTAAGAGGACAAGTTATTGATAAAAATACTCGCAAATCCAGGACCCGTACGATTTCTAGTGCGAGGGAAAATTAGTCTGATTTGAGGCTAAGTTGACTTAGGAATCAGTGCTGTGCCAGACTGTGGTCCTTGTCATAAGTCACGTGGCAAGCTGCTAAATCTAGAGGCGGCTATCCCTACGTGAGGGCCATATCTCTCACTGTTGCAGCTTGTCTTACCTCGGTTCTCCAGAACATGTAGAAGTATACCAGACTCAGAGTATTTTGATCCATTGATTAATTTTCCTTGGATAATTGAGGAGACCAAAAAATACTCAGTAATTCGAATTAGCAGCCCCTAGGGACCAATAAATATAGGTGCCAACAAGTTACGCAACTTCATGAGCATTTTAGCGGGTAGTGATATCCATATCTATTCAGATAGATCAAAGCTTCTAGACGATAACTCAGTGGTGGATATGTTTTAGTTCAGTTCGGAATTAGATTCTGCTCTAAAGCATTTCTTCTCAGAAAATTTAGAAGTCCATAAGACGCGGAAGCCCATGCGGCCCTTCATGGTATTCGTGCTGCTATCAAACTCCCTTTGGCACGTTTCGTATATAACGCATGGACAGTTGTAGATAGTAAAGAAGTTGCAAGAAAATTGCTCACTACAACACCGTCAAAGTCATCCCAATCAATTTTTACAGACTCCCTAGATGCAGCCAGGGGTTGGAAAGCAAGAATGCGACTATCTCAGACTAATGAAGGATAGATGGGTGTACGCTGGGTTCCAGGACATGCAGGGATTAAGGGTAATGAACTAGCTGACTGGGAGCCAAAAAGAGGAGCAGGTATGCCCTACCAACACTCAACCTAGTATTCTTTTATCTCAATACTGGAATGGAAATCCTTTTTTTTTTTGCATGGAATGGAACTCCACAAAGCTTATAGAAGCCCAAAATAACTGGTGTACTGTGAATATCCCAAACTCATTCATTCATTGATTGTTGTCAGGAACTGAGGATAGAGGTTACTGGGATACAATGGTTGCCATGGGTTACGAATTGAGTAATCGAGTTATCGAGTAGTAGAAGGTGGACTCTATGAGACCTAGGTTACTCTGGTTACTATGATGTATATATGGATTGGACAGAGCCACAGTAAAGATATACGTCATGCCTTCCGTCTTCCACTGGCCTTGTGTCCGATCCTAGATTCCCTCGTCCCTCGTCCTTAGTTCTAGTTACAATTACAAATTTATACCTTTGACTCTTGCCAATCTCCTCAGGTATTGCCCAAGTCCCTCAGTAACACCCCCAACGCTACCTTTGGCACCCTCAAGTTTGACGATTGTTCTAGTTTAACGTCCTATTTGGCTTCTATTTACGGATCCATGAAGACGGTAAGCCGCTTTGGTAAGGGAAAAAGCTTTCAACAAACAAAACCCGATGTCCTGCCCCTCTGAACCGACCCGGCTTAATGCTGAGGACGTTCCTTTCAACCATAAATTTATAAACTTTCTCCAGGTTTCGTTAACTCTCCCTTCAATCAGACTAACCTTATGAAAAATTAAAGAGAGAAGGCACCTCCTCACTCGGCGTTGGTCTTCGAAGTGTTCGAAGAGTTGGCCCCGATAGTGGTGCGACTTTTGCGGAGATGGTTGGTGCCGTTGGGGCTTCGATTACCTTCTGTGGTCGTCCCGGCCCTCTTTTGAGCCCTTCAGCCTTCATACTGGTGACCAAAGTGAATACTTGATCATCAGTCATTTCGACTGTTCGCATTGGCGCCACCGTAGGCTTCTCGTTCCATATTTCCGCCGTCCTCGATAATAGCTCCATCCGAGCCTTCTCCACACTTCCCTTGTAGACCTGGTAGGTCCGACACGCTGCTTTCTGCCACGAACGGTGCTCCTTGCCGCAGTTCGCACAAGAAACCCTTTTCCTCGGACAGTCCCGAGTTTGGTGAGCACCAGCGCACTCACCGCACCTGGCTGCCTTTCCACACGACGCCTGCGTGTGTCCCCATTGACTGCAGTTGTAACACTGCTTTGGCTGGGACCGTGGTGACCACACCTGCGCGATACAGAGCATGGCGTTCATTACAAGGCCGTTTCTGACCACTTCTGTCTGCATTGCCTCCGATGGGAGGCTTCCCACAATTGATCCACGAGTGCGGCCATTTTTCTTTGACCGCTGGTGTTCCTTTCCGTCGTGTAACCACCTAATACGACTTATGACTAGGCCTAGAATCCGTGCCTACGTAGCCGTCTCTATCTCCCTGATGATGGCAAAATTGTTGGCATCTCTACCCCCTTCAATTCGTGTCCGCAATGGGACACCGTTGACCTCAACTGGAAATTCTTGCCGCAGAATTTTGAATTCCGTTGGTTGTCGCATATTTAGAGCCGCGTCTCTCTGGGACGCCGACTGAACGAATACCTCGGTATCGTTGCTCCGCATTTGACAAATCGCGTATGCGCCTTGGATGTGCTGTTTTGCCTTTCAAAGCAGCTCTTGTGGCTGCAAGTTTTGAGCGCCGTCGATTCTTATTCGTGCCGCTGTTTTTGTCATTTGGGGAGCCATGACCGACGCGTAGCTCCTTGATGTCGTCGCGCCCGAAACCACTGCTGGAGCAGCTTTCCGAGCGGGATCCGCGAGGCTTTTCTTTACAACTTCCTATAAAGCCATCATCCTCTCCTCGATAGGAGACTTCTTCTGGGACATTTCCGTCAAGTCCCTTTTTTTTAACTTTTTGGTCCTAAGCTAAAGCTATATTTTCCACATTGGGTCAATGACCGGCGGGGGGACTATTCTCAACACCTGTCAGTGGTGTCCCCTACGAACCTCCAGCTCTCACTTTAGAGTCTGCAGAGCCGAGATTGAGTAACACCTTGTCAACTTTGAGCTGAGTTGTCTCCCCCTCCGTCAAAGATACGCTTCCGATAACACATAAGACGACAAAGACGACGATAATGATGCTGGGAATGAGGAAAGATAATGCGGTACCAAACGCTACAACGGTTGTCAGAGAAGCCCTCGTTTTATCACAACATTTTCTACCCACCCGTGGGCGAACAAAAAGCCCACGAAAGCAAAGTAAAAGACCCTTCCGCCCTCAAGAAAAACAGATTTCGACTCGTTTACATTATCGTTGTTACGGGATTAATCCCTTGTGTTTGTACTGTCCGCGCCAGAACGGTAGGGATGGAATATAGGGCCTAGCCAGCCACGGGGGCTACCAATGTTGCGGTCTGGATATGGTTGCTTAGCAACATAGATTGTTATGATCGGCGCTGACAATTACAATTCCCTATGTAAACAGCGAGAAGTAGGAAACCTTCTTTTTCTAGATTTCATTAATTAACTGATTTTATTCTAGACTAGCTCTGCTGTATACCAACACCAATTGATCCGGCCACAAAACCCTCCTGCTTAATTTCTATGTTTTTTATAAAGTATCCTTTAGGAAGCGCAGTCACACTATAGTGCCCTCCATATAACCCAGTCACATCAGATTTATCGACCTCAGGAAAGGCATGACCTGTTCCTTTCCCTCAGCAGCGTTTCGACTGCCTTTGTCATCTGGAATTGCTCTATCCAACCGCGGTTTAGAATCCACCGTGTTATCCTTTTGATATCTCCAGGATTGTTCATCATAGCTTCGTAGGACCGATTTTTGGCTTGTCTCCAGATCTATCCTCTTCCATTTGACCATCGAGGGCAGGACATAATCATGTGCTTGGGGTTCTGCGATTGGTAGCTACATAAAAAGCTTGGTCTGCAGACTCCGGGTACTTTTCTGTATAAATACGGGTTGGGCCCCATGTGCTTACTTCGTATTTGCATGGCTAGATTGCTTTGGGCCCATGTATTTAACGATGTTGGAATTAAGCGAATGGTGATAAAGATGTCATCAGTGCTTCCATAACGCCAGACTGCCATGGATATTCTGAAGCAACTCCATACCTGTTTACTACACCCTGAGCCACTAAACAGGAAGCTTTAACACGTAGCCTCGCATTTGAAGCCATTTGCCTTATTCAGACAACTTCAGACTTAATGGACATTAAACTATTTTTTTGGGTCGAATGAGGGAGTCGGCAGGATAGATGCTTGTCTTCCAAATGGTCAGCGGCTCGCGCAAAAGCACGTTCGTTATGCCAGCGGAAGCATCTTCCACACTGTGGACTTTGGTCTCCTTGTCAAGTTTCTTGGCAGGGACATAGACGCCAAAAAGAGGACGTTTCCGTGACAGGACGGATCCTTCAGAGTAGAGAACTATCCATTTTTTTCTGATAGGAGAATCTTGCAGTATTTGAACTACGTGGCTTAAGCAGACTAACTGGCTGGATATTTGTTAGGTCTCTCAGAGCCTCAGCCACTAATTGTGTCGTGATTGAGATATTCTTAATTGAAGTACTATTAAATCCTGTGTATGTGAGTGGTATTCCTGATAGTAGGGGGACTATTCTCAACACCTATAAATGGTGTCACCTACGAACGTCCAGCTCTCACTGTAAAGCCTGCAGAGCAGAGATTGAGTAGCAAAATCCTCACTTCTATGAGGATTCCCAATCGCTTTTGCAGTCTGTATCGTCTTCATCTCTCAACACATTCCCCTATCACCACTATCATGAAGCTAACCACGATCAGATCAGATGGTAGGGTCGGAGCCCTACTCGTCACCCACCCTTGATCATGGAGGAAAAGCCATCCGATGAGTTTCCGGAGCGTACCCAGCACCCGATACAGAGATGGTGGATTGGATCAAGTCGACCTCGACTGTTACAA